TCTCCCTGTAGCCATGCACAGAAATAAACTCCCTGTTCTCTGGCCTCTACCTCCCATTTCGTTGGTCGTGTGAAGAAGCGACCAGACCTAGCTGGCCGGTAGCAACCCCCCACCCCGCTCTGTCCTGAGAAGAGTGTATAAGCATCAACTTCTGACTGCTCCCTGAGTTCTTTCCCCCAAGGCTCCCAGGTATGCATGTATACCTAACCTAGCAAAACTGAAGAGTGCTGGGCAGAACAATGGCATCCACTTCAGAGGCTGTGAGGATGGGGTTCACCTCCTAGCAGCCATAGGAAGGCCACACGCACAGGCTACAAAGTTTATGGCATGAAACAAAATGGGGCCCATCGCCCCCTTTCTTCTTCTGCCAAGCTCCCTGCATTCCTGATATAAAGCTGTCTGTTATTTTAATGAATCAGTGTGAATTCTTTCAAAGTATCTGGAAACTCCCTCCTTCTCTGCCTTTCTCTTCAGTATAAAACTTAGTTTCTCAGATGCAGAAATGAGGGAATAGTTGACATAACGGTAAACTATGCAACTTCAGCCATGATTCAAGGCAGTAAGATTGCAAAACCCCACATGAAGAAAAAGATTAAAAAAAATTTTTTTAAAGAATTTTTCAAAGAATTGTTTATTTAATTTTATCAATTGATTTACTATTGTTTTAAATTTTCTATAAGGCACATGTATTCACCAGAGAGAGAAAGAAAGACAGGGAAAGTGAGAAAGTAAGCTGTCAGGTCTGGGACTCAAACCGATGTCGGCCATGTAGGAGTCGAGCGCTTTAATCACCATGCCACCTGCTGGCCCCAAAAGGATAAGATTTTAATTCAGATTCTCAAGATGTTTTGCAAAATGTGAAACCTACTACTCCAGAAAGCCCAGGAGATGGTCACACTGTCTTGAGCCAATCACTGAGCTGGTCACACACTGGAGAGGCCTGATCCTTAATTTTGCCCTAAAAATGCGTGCTCGGAGCTCCTTGCGGACACTGGGTCCTTTCAGCATTAGCTGCCCGCTCTCCTTGCTTTGCACACGGCAGTAACACGGTGCTTTCCCTCACCACACCCTAGCACCACAGCCTGGCTTGTGGTGTACAGGCCAGGAGCTCGGCTTGAACTCAGTTCAAGGGTACTACAGGGCACTCCATCGCCCTCATGCCTAATCCAGAGCTCTCTCCACTCTGCTTGTTGCGAGAGCCTTCTCGGAGGCTGGTGAGCACCAATGCTTCCAACATTCTGGACAATCACTGAGCATGCTTCCTGGTTCTTGGGGCTGCTGCAATTCTGAATTATCTTCTCTGCTCACATATGTTTTTCAAGGGGAAGCCAAAACATAAAGTTTAAAATACTACCAGAGGGTAGAGGCCAACATAAATTTTCCAGGATTTACATTCAGGGTTCCAGGTTTTAAATCTAGTGGACCCTGCCTGAAATGCTCCCACAGACATATGTACAGTCATTCTAGTAAAACCAGGGAAGAACTAGGCAAAGAGTGACTACTTAAACTGTAATCTGCCTCACAACTTCTCTGTTGCTTACAGTTTTTAAAAGTTCACTTATTTCTTCCATGAGCAGGAGAGAGAACCCCCAGGAGGGTCTTGATGCCATGACCTCCCCTCACCCTCAGATAGTCTTAAGCCAGGGGCATACATGTGCCCAGGGTACTTAGGAAGACCTTGTCATGAGCCCGGAACCCTCCCGAGCGGCCCATCCTGCAGAGCGTCACGTTGTTCCGCTGTGATGCTGTCTGCCCCGATACCTTCTACTCTTCCTCTGCATCCCCCCCGCGCTGTGGGGAAAACTTGCCAAAAAGGGAAAAAAGAATGAGGACTGGACGTTCAGACCAAGAAATGGAAAGACCTTGAGCAAAGAGAGCAACAGCAGAAAAAGACAACCTGATGCTAGTCTCGGATGGGGAAAGTGAAAGCTCACCCCAGCTCAGTCTTACTGTCTCTAGAATGATTCATTATAATTGGCACTGCAAGGACCAGCCATATGAAGGGAGAGGTGATGCCAGATTGCAGCAACACCCTCAAGGTTTCAGTAGTGACAAATGCCATGTTTCTAGAGCATTCTCAGGGCTAGCTCAGCTGCTGCTGCAATGCTGACAACTCCTCATTAAGAATTATCAAGGGGCCAGTGGATGGCGTAATGGTTACATCATTGGACTCCCAGGTAATCAATTGCAGTTCAAATCTTGGACCTGGTGGCTTGAAACTCACACCAGGCGCATGTGTGTGCGTGCCCAAAATCTTGAGAGGAGAATGGAGGAGAAGAGATTGCAGCATGGCTATTCTCCCAGGGAGTGAGTTCTCACTTCCTGTCTCTTTGGTGAGTGCACGCACACTATAGCAAAAATCCTTCTTATAAAAACAAAAAAAGAAATTTTCAAGGAGGTGACATTTGAGGTAGAGATTGAGAACAAGCTGGCAAATTCTTCAAAGAATGAAGAGAATTCGCCCAGAGACTATAGACGCAACTGCAGCGAGAGGATTGGTGGGTGATACAAACCACTGGTGTACACTATCGAGGCATGGGCGGCTCAGCTACCAGAAGTCACCTTCCTGGGATACTAAACCCTGTCCCAAATCTGTATGCGGCATGAAACATCTGGAGATAGAGTGAAATATTTAGTCAGCTAGGCCTTCCCTAC